CTTCAAATACTAGTGCCAGGGTATCTGCATTATCTTCAGCTCTTAGGGTAATGATGTCTTCATTGCCAGCACATTTCAGTATTTTAGACATGCTAAAACAGAGAAGACCCATTATCCACCCAACATCTAGATTTCCAAAGCCATTGGAAGTTAGCACTTACATACATCAGGTAGTGGGAGGAACTGGTGGGGGGATGCTGGGTAAATGCCTTTGGAAGAGGTGAATATGGGCCCTGCCATTTTGGATGCAACCTGGCACTCTACCAAAGAGTATTTCATCTCGCTGGACAAGAGTATTTTCTGAACTCCAAAGCCCTTCCGTGGGTTAAATTACGCCGCAAGGATACTTAAATATGACTCGCCAAACTTATTAAAACACACCCCGTGTATTGTATTCTGGGTACTGTTATTTTTCTTTTTTTTTTTTTAATGTGCACACGTGTACAGGATCAGCAGTGATGAGAATGCTAAAAACTCCTGCTCTGGGTAAATTTTCCTACAAGTTCCGGACGTAAAAATAAGAGTAAGAGATCCTAAACACCTATCGTCCTCATACAAGATGACAGAATGACAATTTCTCACGACTGCACATTATAAGGTGTTTGAACTCAACCAGAATTAAGGTTTCTCCTCCACGACTGCTGTAATTTAATGACCCACGAGCCCTGAAGGAGACTTTGGGGCAGACTGCGGAGAAGCCGGTCATTTTCCCGCCACCGCGAGCTTTGTGACTTTGGCGCGGAAGTAGCCGGCTGGCGCGGCTGCCAGCGCGGGCTTTTTGGAACCGCGCGCTCCGCGGGTCCCGCCCCTGACGGCCTCGGCAGCCAACCCGGGCACGGCTCCCGGCGCGCTCCCGCCAAGAACAGAGGCCGCGGCCGCTCCACGCCGGGTCCCCGCGCCCCGCTCACCTAGTGAGGTTTACCCCCATGGCCAAGTTGCGGTCGCAGCGGTACGTGTCGAAGCCTTCGGAGCGCAGCGTGAGCTGCACCAGGGAGACGTGGGA